TGATAAAGAGGTTAACGGCTTCCACATGCTCTGTCGGGTCGGAGTGTGGGGACCCTTAGGGTTGGGAATTCAGCCTTTTAAGGTAAGAGGTTAACGACTATTATAATTTGGATTTTGGGGATAATAGGTGGATAATAAATAGGTGAGTAAATAGGTAATTAATTCGAAGGTAATGGTTTTTGATGGGGTAATAATGGCTATTATGGGTGATAATAGGTGGATAATAAATAGGTGAGTAAATAGGTAATTAATTCGGAGGTAATGGTTTTTTATGGCCGGGGTAATAATGGCTATTATGGGTGATTTAGTAGGATATTTATTCTTCCAAAAAGGCTGAACCCCAACTTTAAGGGCCTCCTACACCCCGATCCGACAGAGTATTTGGGAGGATGTAAATCATGGTAACTCAATTGAACATGAACCACAGAGGCTAGACCGATCTCACTGCGCACAAGGAACCCCCCTCACTTTGAGAGGTTGCTCCCACACTGCCGCTGGTGAGACTCGATCCCTGGTCATTCTTCCAAAGTTTCACCTCTGTGACCAGTTTTTAGTAGGATATTTATTTTGGGGGTTATGGAGGGGTTTAGGTGTATGATCGGGTTTAAGTGGTCCAATCGGGGTTAGGCAGTTCAATCGGGTTTATATTTTGGGTATCTATCAATTATTATTATTTTTTTTTATGTATACCCTTTAGGTCATTTTATATGCTAATTTAAACAGCTAATTTTTTAAAATATCTTTTTACCAATCGCTGATATAATTCGTTGGTCAAACCCGCTAATATAATCCGCTATTTGCTAATTGCTAACACAACCCGCTAACGCTAAGTGCTAACTATTGATTGCCAAACAAGGACATTGCGGGCTAGTTTCTCACTTCAATTTGTTGTGTGATTTAAATACTCTTTTTGTCAACAAATCCTCCAAGTAGTTAATATGATTGGCTTAATTATATATATATATTTTTTTATTTTTTCATGGTATTAATAAAATACTTGGTAAATAAATATATATCATTATTTTGTATTATAACTTTGAAATTTAATTTAAAAATAGTGTAAAAAAAAAAAGATAATAGACAATGTAGTGAATATAATCAATTGATTAATTTGAATATAAAGAATTTTTACATTGGAGAAAAATAAAGACAATATAACTAATAAATTATTTCTCTTAATTAATTTATTAATAATGGATAATTTTTTTTTGAATAAAGACATTGTAGAGACAATGTAGCGAATATAATTAATTGATGAATTTGAATGTTTAGAATTTTTACATTGGAGAAAAAATAAAGACAATATAAGTAATGAAATTATTTCTCTTATTTAATTTATTGATAATGAATAATTTTTTTTTGAATAATGACAATGTAGACACATAATTCTAAATTAAAGAAATGCATATGTATTATTTTTTGTTGTAGCTAATAAATTATTTTAATTTAATAAGAGTAAAATAGAGTACTAATTATGTCAACTTTGATTGTGATGGGGTTCGAACCTAAGACCTTTCTTATTGAATCATATAATTAAGGATAAATTTGAAAATCTCAAGAAAAAATTAAAATATGAACAATCTAAACCATTCATTTAATTTAAAATTTGACGGACACTTTTTCTACCCATTATAGGCCTAATTTCTTTTGGCTCTTATTAGTATAGCAGAGATAATATATATATACACACATGAAATGTAAAAGACACTAAAAAGATCATGTTCACAATTATATATGTTCTACACATTCGGTCAACCATTTATGGGTAGTAATGAAATTTTTTTTAATGTCATATATTTCCTTTCATTAAAAGAAATAGGGAGACATTTTATTACTATTTTTCCTTCTTTTGAAAATAAATGATATTATATTTTCCTTCAATATTTATCTCTTCAATATATATATATATATATATATACATACATACATACATACATACATACATACATACATACATACATATATATATATATATATATATATATATATATTTATTTATTTATTTATTTATTTATTTATTTATTTATTTATGTCAAGGGGTAAACGTTGGGGTAAAAATTTGATGGAGAAAAATAAAATCTTATTAGAACTTTTACTAGGCATATGACATATATACATATATGTATATGTATATAGGGGTGAGCATCGGTGGGTTTCGATCGCTTTTTGGTTAATCATCGAAATAACTGAAAAAATAATAACATTCGCATAATCGACTGAAATAATTGAGGTACTTCTCATAACCGAGTTGATCGAAAATTGAAATTTTCGGTAGGTTAAGTTGGTCAAAGTACCTATAAAGTCCTTGTACTATAGTGTTTTGTTAAATTTAGTCCTTGTACCTTTATTTTGTTCAATTTAGTCCCTTCATTTTAAAAAAGTGGTGAAACTAAGGACAATTGTCCAAATCTCATTAAAAACATGGTTTTAATTATTTATTTTAGACATACTAATTTAATATATTGGTAGTAAAAATAACTAATTTTAAATATTTATAAAAAAATATATGAGTAAGAATATAAATATCGGCAGCGCCACGTAACCTAAGTTAGCTGTAATATTAACACCATTAACTATTGTCCTTAATTACACCATTTTTTAAAGTACATGGGACAAAATTGAACAAAATAAAGGTATAAGGACTAAATTGAACAAAACGTTATAGTACAGGGACCTCGTAGGTACTTTGACCGGTTAAGTTCGGTTATTTTTAACTGAAGCAGTACTAGAATCTACACTACTACAAATAATGGAGAACTTCAAGCATAATAAATTGATTAAGAATTAATATTGACAGATGCACGTTGATGTTGCTTGTTATACTATAAATCTTTGAATCTTGTTATATTACATTATTACGATCAAGTAATATGGAGTTGTTTTAGGTTATGTTTCCAGATGGCTTCTTTGGGTTGCCTTGACTATTTTCAACATAAAAATAATGGACTAATATTTAGTTTTAACATTTTTCATGTTGTTAACTGGTTCATATATTAAAATCTTAATCAATATGATTTCTTTATTCAAACGAGCCTTGTAGTGAACTAGTAATTGGACTTTGTTATTTTAGAAATATTTTTCCTTTAAAAATATGCATATTTTTTCGTGTATCAAACCCAAATGGTAGGAATAAGCGCTTTCAAACAATAATATTAAGTTAAAATATATTACAAAATTACTAATTTTATTTCTTCCACTTGTTTAAGCGTCGGTTTTTCGGTCGGTCATCAATTTTTTTCAAGAAAATCGATAACCGACCGAAAAAAACCGAAATAACTAAAACTTTTGAACTAAAAAATCGATAATTGATTGATAATCGAATCTTTAGGACGGTTCAATTATCGGTCAACGGTTTTTCAGTCAATTTGATTTTTTTTGCTTATTTTTATATATACAAGTATTTGAGAGTATGTAAACTAGTTAATTATGCAATTTAATTTATTTCTTATATAGAGGTTACCATTATGCATGTGTATAACGGCGTGGAATACAAAATTTATGACCAAATGAGTTGGGTCACAAAATCCTTCCCTTGGCGTCATCAACACGTAGCAACCGTTTGATGCATGAGCTTTCTTGGTTCGTATATATCAATTAAGTAATAACAAATTAGCACCAATATCTGCTTTCTATTTATTAATTACGCTATTAGTTTAAATGGATAATTAAACAATAATAATTTAATTTTAAATTAAAAATTATAATATAATATTTATGATCATTTATCGGTTAGAGTCACAATACATGATTTACCTAATACACATTAGTAGTAGTTACAGATTTTACACGTCACTCAAAAAAATATATTATAATAATAGTTTCTTTTTATTGCCATATTTCAGAACACTTTTTCAAATTTCCTTTTTTACATACGTGGAAGCAACAAAAAAGATGAAACAACTCATCTATACAGTACTATACTATACAGGCAAGTGCAGCCACTGCACGTACCTTTTCATTATAATTGCTGATAGTTTTGTGTATGTTAAGAGTAGAGTCAAGTAATTTTATTATTTTTTTGAGGTAAAGAGTCAAGTAATATTATATCCACTCTTAAAATCACTTTTTAATGAGAAGGGTTGTAATAGAGTGGTTAAAGACTGATATATTACAAATTTGAGCTCTAAAAGATTGAAATTTACAAGTGGATGGAATATGATTCTTATAATTGAAATTTATGAGTTTGATTATTACCAACATCTTCTAAGTTGAGTATGTTACACACATGATCTTCCTAGTGTATATAGACTGTCAGTTTCTCTCATAAAAAGAAAAAAAAAAGACTTTTTAATATTTACTCCATGATATACCACTTTTTTTTAATTATGTGAACTATTCATTAAAGAAAAATTACAATCTTAGTCCATCAATTATTTTCTACTAAATTATCGTAGTCTCTCACTTTTTACTATTAAAATACATTTATCTAATTTTTCAAAAAGATTATAGTTTTAGTCCACAAAATCATTAAATTAACTGCATTAGATTTTTATTTAATTTAATACATAAGTATTTTAGTAATTAATTATCTTTTCGCCTCATATCGTTTTCAATTTTGGTATTTCATTTTCAAAACAGAATTGATAATCTTCTCTCCTAAATGTTTCCTCTTCAATTGTTGTACATTATCATTCTTTTTCCCATGAACTTGTTAAAATCAAGTTCTATATTTAACAGATAAATTAAAATATCATTCAATACTAAAAATGACGATTATAATTAAAGAAGAAATATAAAAAACTACAGAGTACTAAAATACCGATATATTAAGTAAAAAAAAAAAAAAAAAAAGTTAAGGATTAAAATTACTAGTATAGAGTAATTGAGTGTATTTTTAGTGTTACAGGAGAAAGTAACATTGCCCACGTTGCAGTTGTAAAATTTCTCACAATAAATTGTGAGGATGCCTGAAGTTAGCGAGTCTATCTTTGTGTCACAAGGGTAACATCTTTTTTTTTTTTTTTTTTTTTGTTCCGGAACGAACAATGAAATAAACTTTTTGACAGCTCTATGCTTCCGCATAAGCCAAAATTCATGCATTGTTCCTTACTCCCACACTCTACAAAGCTTGCTTATTATTACATGCCTTTCTAACGAATCCCTTCACTTGTCTGCTAGCTTCCATCAATTCAAATCTTTGCTTCAAAGTTTCAACCCCCAACCGCCCCGACCCGGCGCTCTTATAAGCATACGCATTAAACAACTCCGATCCTCACCAACAAACTGCATTGGCGGCGAAACCGAGAATTCTATCTCGCTGCTGCAGATCGATGTCACTGCGAAGAAATTGAAGCATTTTGCTTCCTCATCATTTGTGCAAATCCGGAGGTTTATATACGCAGACATGTGTATGTGGTGGCGCTGGTGGGCATGGTGGCTGCTGGCGGCGGCGGCGGCCGCCGTCCGCGGAGGAGATGTCACGTACGACGGGAGATCACTCATCATCGACGGCCAACGGAAGCTTTTGTTCTCCGGTTCTATTCATTATCCTCGTAGCACCCCAGATGTAAGTTGTCTATCTCTTTTATAAATTTACATTGCATTACATTTTCAGTTTATCCAATTCCTACAAATATCATCTATTTTTTTTTAGAAGATATACTTTTTTTTTTAAAAGGGTAATGGCTCAGTTTGACCAGGCTAACTGAAATGCTAGTTGAAAAGTTAGCAGTTAATAAGCTAATTAATTAAAATTAAAGTGTTTATTAAAATTAATTATTGAATTAGCTGATAAGTATAAAAAGACATAAAAAGATAAATTAAAATATTAAGATTTCGATTAATAAATGGTAAATGATGACATTTTTTGTAAATTAATAAAGATATTAAAAAGAAAAAGATTTAGCCATTGTTAAATCAATTCTGACTTATAATTTGACTACTACTTATTTGACTTTGTTAAACAATCAATATGAGTGTTCGATTAATTAGCTTTTTATAACAACTTATTGCTTCAAAATGTTAAAATTCAAAAAGCTGTTCAAAGTAACTTTTTTATTAGCTTTTTGAATTTTGTATGTAATAAGCTAACAACTAATAATTAATTTACCAAATATTTTTCTATAATCAGCTAATGTTATCAACTAGTCAAATCCACTAACTCAATCAGCTAACACTCATTTAAAAAGTTAGGAGCTTATTTTGAAACGCTACTTGAAGTATGTTTCAAAATAAGTTATTATTTTAAGTTCTCCATGTTTTACCAAACGGAACTTATAATTTATTTATAATTTAAAATAAATCATAAACTCTAAAATAAGTTATACCAAACAAAGTCTAAAAGTAAAAATTGAAGGAAGGTTTTCTTTTTTTTTTTTTGAATGTATAATGAACTAATGAGAAGTTAAATCATCAATTTTTAATCCGAACCATATACTTGGGACTGAATTTGGTGAATTTAAAAAAATAAATTAATGGATAATGTGGTCAAATGGAAAGCCATGATCAAAAGCAAGCATATATATATATATATATATATATATATATATATATATATATATATATATATAGAATTAGGTTCAAATGAGAACTTCTATGTTAACATATGAATCTATATACCATTATGCACTGTTGATCTTGTGGTTTATAATAATTTTGATATAGTAAATATACATTATTGCACCACTACACAAGTGTACAATTACACTTGATGCACCATTATACCACTTTTTAGATTTCGACTCTCCAGTTTCATATCCTCAACAATGTAATGCTTGTCATATTATTATAGTCGATCAATAGTGGAATTAATTCAAATATACTTTATAATATTAATAATTTTTTTAATGGCTACAAACTAACTTATCAATTCTAAGTTGTAATTAGAGATGATTTTATTTTTTTCTTTTAAACAATATTTATAAGGAGTGGGGCAGCTGAAAACAAGGAATTATATAAATAAATAAATAATGAAATATTATACAATAAATTCTAAAATTATACTTTGTTTCTCATAACAAATATTTTTAGGAAGGACCGAAGGAGCATATGACTAAAGAATTATTCCCGTGTTGAGTGATGCAGTACTCACGCAACACAAGAAAAAATAGGTCGAACGTGACACCACCATGTGGGTCACACATTTCAAATTTCATTAGCTGTATCGTTTGAAATATGGCCGAAAATTATGCAGCTTGTTTTGGACAATACGTTACGCCACAAACGCCCAACGGTCAAACCAACAGAAATTTGTTTGATCTTTTATTAAGGGACATAAATACAATAAGAATTCCCTTCAAAAAAAAAAAAATACAATAAGAATTCAAACGACAAAATTATCCTCCATACTACATTATCATCATCATTATACATAACAAAAATATATAAAGATAAATTAAGTATTCCCAAAAAAAGATACTCATTTCTGAGAGTAAAATAAATTACCAATCAATAAATTATGTGAGTGTTTGGTAAATAGCTGTTAGCTACTTAGTTGATTGGATTAGTAGTTTGACTAATTGATAGCATTGGCTGATTGTATAAAAGTGTTTGGTAAATTAGTTGTTAACTGGTAGCTAATTACATGTAAAATAACTTTTTCAAAAAGCTAGATCGAAAAAAATACTTTGAATAGCTTTTTTATTTTTAGCATTTTGAATCAATAAGCTGTTACAAAAAGCTAATTAATCAAATACTTATATTGATTGTTTAACCATGTCAAACAGCTAATAGTAGTTAAATAAGGCAAAATTGAATGATAAACTAACTATATTACCAAACAAGACCTATGTCTACTCCGATCCTAGAAATGTTATTATATTCATTTCTCAACTTATTCTGTAAATCAAGCATGTTAATACTAAACTACTAATTACTCAACACTTTTCTATGAACCTTTGAATACTATTCATTAGTTAAAACCTCTAACACAACCTATTATTAACAATAAATTATTAAGCTATCAATAATTAGAATGATTTTAGTAAAAGTAACATTTTTATTTAGTGGTAAACATGAATCAAAATTAAAATAATTAATTAATTAAATGTATAAATAAAAAAATACACACACTTCTTTTAACTGTTTTAGTATTTTACTTATCTTGTTTATTATGCATTCACTAGACCAACTCTTCTTTTTTTTTTTCTTTACATTTTAAATAATTTATAAGTCCATCATTTTGTATTTAATACTATTTTAAATATAATTTCAAAATGTGAAAATTTTATATACAAACATTAAACTAAATACTACAAATATATATATATATATATATATATATATATATATATATATATATATATATATATATATATATATATATATATATATATATATATTAAACCACAAATACTTTTTTATCGAGCTTTGGACAAAAAAGTGTGTGGGTGAGAAATGAGAATAAATTTAGTTTGTTTATCTTAAAAACAAATGACGATGTTCTAATTTCAAGAATTTAATAAAATTAAAAAAAAAAAAAAAAAAAAAAAAAAAAAAGGCAATGAGCGTTCTACCTTTTTTTTTTTTAATGCAAAGAACTAATAACGCCCCCATGAATCTCGAACTCATAACCTTCCAAATGAAAGTCCAACCCGAATACCATTAGACCACGTAGTCTTGGTGAGCGTTCTACCTATATATATTATTGGTTCAAATGAGGTCCGGGCTTCCCGTGCGGCCAGTCCAAATTGCACCATTAGGTATGTATAAATGCACCACACAGTAACGCACAAATGCCCCACACCTAATAGTTTATTTTCGAACACTTTGTAGTGCATTTATACGTAGCTAATAATGTGTGACCACACATCCACATGACAAGCACTACCCGCACGAGAACCCCTCACTCTCTCTCTATATATATCGAAAATGCATTTAAAGAAATTTGACATAAACATAAATATCTGCACTCTTTTATTGTGTAATACTATACTTTTTTTTTTTTTTTTAAGATGTGGCCTTCTCTAATAAAAAAAGCCAAAGAGGGAGGGTTGGATGTAATACAGACATACACGTTTTGGAACCTTCACGAGCCTCAACCTGGTCAGGTACAACTTACACCTCTCTTTTTTATTTTTTATTTTTATTTTTACATCAGATAGATTTTTCTTTAAAAAAAAAAATAAATAATGTTCAAATTGAGTCTGACATCTAATGCACACCATGCATGATAATCAAATCATGAGTTTAGCTATCAAGAATGGTAATCAAAGTCATTATTATTGTTTAGTTGACAGATTTCTAGAATACTACAATGAGATTTGATTACCTCCTTAATTAAAAAAACACATTCCCTAATAAAATAATGATTTCATTCTATTAATTTTCTTCTAATTAGTAATTTGATTTTTAATTTTAGATTAGTGCTTTTAGATTTTTGTTTTTATTTTTTTTGTTCATATTGGTACTTTAGATGTCTTTATATTACAATAAATTATCTTGATTTTTTGTTCTTGTATTTTTAAAACCTTTATTCTCATTATACGATTATACATGACCAAACAACAATATTGGTAATCATTCAAGTTCCACCCTACTACCAAACATGCAAAATACATTCACCAAAACTCATTACCATTACCAAGTAATATTTGATTCACATTCTGATTTCAATTCTCATGCGTGAACCAACCACACCCTATGAGATTGACATCAAAATTTATAATATAAAATTGGTTGAATTATAAGACTTTGATTTTTTTTTTTTAAAAAAAAAAAACTAATAATAATATATAAATGTTAATGCATTGTTTAATTTAATATTTTAATTTTTAAATTGTACTGTACAAGGTAATAAAATACAAGTCGAATTCTTGATTTTCAGTATGATTTTAGCGGAAGAAAGGATATAGTGAGATTCGTGAAGGAAATTCAAGCACAAGGTCTTTATGCATGCCTTCGTATCGGACCATATATTGAAGCTGAATGGACTTATGGGTAACAAAAATCCTATTTAATCCTGAGACATTACTTATAAGACATGAAATAATGAAGATATAGAGAATCCACTAAGACTGTGTTTGGAAATTAGAAAAATGACTTATTTTCCCAAGAACATTTCCTTTCCAGTATTTGGTTACATTTTAAAAAACTATCTTGGTATCTTTGGTTTATTGCATAATTAAACACCGATTTCATAAAAGAAAAAAAAATCAATGTTAATTATTTTATTTAAAAAAAAAAAAAAAAAAAAAAAAAAAAAAAAAAAAAAAACAGAAGCCGACTTCAAACTGGTTTCCGTTAGAGACCAGATTTAATCTGGTTTCCGTCAGGAACCAATGTTTGGTTCCTGACAGAAACCATTGATGCGGGATGTCGGATTTGTTCGGAGATAGCTATGATAGAAAATGACTTCAAAAAAAAAAAATCATTTTCTAAAAAATTGAATTGGTTTTCCTTTGATCCATTGGCTGTAGTATTTTTCTCCTTTCCAAACACAACCTAACTTCATTACAGATTAATTAAATAAATAGATACTCCATATCACAAAAGAAAAATCCACTTTGACATGGAATGAAAATGAAAAATTAATTTTAGAGGAAGAATGTAACACATGTATGGGTATGGGTAAGCCCCTCCTACTCCACTTTACCCCATATATAAAGTAAAATTAATTCAATTAACCACTATAGTTAGTCATGGTTATTTGTGTAATAACATTAACTTTTGTGATTGGGTGACACAAACTGACATAAAGTTAAAGATTCGATTCTTCTCAAATGTACTATGAAATATTACTTTGTGCATTGATAAGGATCAATGAACCACCACTTACCGTGATTGGTTCTCTGTACTCGAGTCCACCTTGCAAAGTGGATCTGCGTCTAAATATTCACAATTTACATACTAAATACGATAAATACACAATATTTTTTTTTTTGAAAGCTCGAACACACAATGTTAATATATATGTAATTGATTACCATTCCTTTCAAATACTACAGTCACACAATATTAACAGATTAAGATTTGATGACCATGTATTCTATTCACAAATTCCCTTCTATAACTCTTATGTGTTTTGACTTAGAAATACAATTTATATCTTAAAAGTTCACAATTCCAATACTAAAAATACATAATTTATACATCGTTTAGGACTAAGTTAACCCCTTCTGGCTTATATGTGGACCTATTTAAGAGTTTTACAATTTGTGTTCTCAATTTTACACTTTACTTCCTGATGTAACAGCATATCATTGGTAGCAATAGATAGCAAACTTTTATTTTTATTTTTTCTCTCTTCATCTAATCAATGAACAAGTAACAAAAATATTATTACAAATAAAATTTAGCATTTTTAGTTCAATACCCACCCAAATCCCTAAACCAATAGACCCACAAATAGTCACATTTGGAAATTCATAGGATGAACTAATGTTTAAGTGGTAAATGTACTAATATGGAGTCCGTACCTTAATAGAAATTGTGCTGGTGTAACAGGGGCTTCCCGTTTTGGTTGCATGATGTCCCCGGCATTGTTTTCCGATCTGATAACGAACCCTTTAAGGTAATGACTCCCTCGAGTGTGCTCCGATCCTCTTGAAAATCTCGAAATAGTGTGTCATCAAATCCACCCTTCTTCCAGCTCTACATGCAAAATTACACAGCAAAGATAGTGAACATGATGAAGTCAGAAGGGCTGTATGCTTCTCAAGGAGGTCCTATCATACTGTCACAGGTTAGATCTTGCATTTTTTTAATTCTCGATTTTTCCAGAAAACTGAAACAGTTCTATAACAGGGTTATGCTACCATTATTTGCGTGACGAGAATATAAACACAAATTTACAGATTGAGAACGAGTACCAGAATATAGAAGCGGCGTTTGGGGAGAAGGGCCCATCTTATGTTCGTTGGGCAGCAGAAATGGCAGTGGGACTCGAGACTGGCGTGCCATGGGACATGTGTAAGCAAGATGACGCTCCCGACCCTGTTGTGAGCTCTCCCACCTTCACTCCATTTCCATATCAGTCTCTAGGAAGTATATATGAACACAAATTATCTGTCAGCAGATTAATGCATGCAATGGGATGAAATGCGGGGAAATCAATTTCGCTCCAAACTCGCCAAATAAGCCAGCAATTTGGACAGAGAACTGGACAAGCTTGTAAGGCACATATATGCATATAAAACACAGAAATCACAACCAACTTACTCTATTATCAAAGTACCTGGATTAATAAGTCCTTTCTTTCTTTCTTTCTTTCTGGTCTAAGCATTCAAGTATACGGCAGCAATGCAACGCTCAGATCAGCAGAGGATATAGCTTATCATGTTGCCCTTTTCATTGCCAGGAAGAACGGGAGCTATATCAACTATTACATGGTAACTGAACAAAACTATATTACTCATTAGATGCATCATATCATCCAATAGAGTACGTATGTTACTACAATTTAAAATTGTAAAGAGCAAATAAAAAGCTAAATATTAACACAGACTTGTTCTTGGTTTTAACACACACAGTATCATGGGGGAACCAATTTCGGCAGGACAGCTGCTTCATTTATGATAACAGGTTATTATGACCAAGCTCCCCTAGATGAATACGGTAAGTAATCCTAGTAGATGATTAAGATGTGCATTTTTATACAAAGGGCAGGTAAAAAAACACTCTCCACCTGCAGGTTTACTCAGAGAGCCAAAATGGGGTCATCTAAAGGAGTTGCATGCAGCTATCAGAATGTGTTCACAGATCCTTCTTTCGGGCACGCCCTATAATGTTTCACTGGGTCAATTTCAACAAGTAAAAATGCTCTTTTATTGGTTTCTATTCAACCAACTTTCCTGCCCTTTTCCTTGAGGCTTGAAAAATAAAATATAAAATATAAATGAAAAAGGGAATAATAACAAGATGCAGCATGAAAGAAATTAAAAAAAAAAAAAAAAAAAAAAAAAAAAAAAAAAAAAAAAAAAACCATGTTTTACTCTTAGTTTAAACGAGAGATCCTAATACCTAACTATTCAACAGGCCTATGTGTTCCGTGGAGATTCAGGAGATTGTGCTGCGTTTCTAATAAATAGTGATGGTAAACAAAGTGCAGTGGTGCAATTTCAGAATTCTTCATATGAACTGCCTCGAAAATCTATTAGCATCTTACCCGACTGCAAGACAGTAGTGTTCAACACTGCCAAGGCAAGTTCCGATATGATTCTCTAAGCTGTTGAAATCTCTAACCACCTTCTTTTTCAGTGCTAGCTAGCAGAGCATGTCCTTTCCTAAACCCTCACAACTTTTGCACTGTCCTTGATAGAATATTTGACCACCAGCCGGCAGCCAGTAACGACTACCAAAGACATGTTCATATCTCTCCAGGAGAATTCTCTATTCCCATTTTATGCTAAAGACTAAAAGCAAAAGGACTCACGTCTCTCCATTTTCAACAGGTGAATACACAATCAAATACAAGATCAATGCAGCCAGCACTCAAATTTGACTCAGCTCAGCAATGGGAAGAATTCAAAGAGCAAGTTGCCGAATTTGATGACACCACCATAAGAGCAGACAAATTGCTAGAGCACATGAATACGACTAAGGATGTATCTGATTACCTATGGTACACAATGAGGTAAGCATAAAATCTTACAGAATTTATATGCTAAAAAGATCCCTCTGGACTTCAAACTAAGCCCCAGACTTTTCCTTAGGTTTTCACAAAATTTATATATTTGGTTCTAGACAGTAGTTAGACCTTTGCAATTCAATATCACTAGATACCTTTAAAATCCCAAGGAGAAGAACACCAGCTAAAAAATGTGTGAAAGTGCTAAGGAAACTATCACAGGTGTACACCTTTGATGCTTTGTAATATAGAGTTAATACCTTCAATGGTCCTCCGAGTATTGTGGTTTTACCACCTGTCATCCTAAACTTTTAAACCGACCAGTGACCATCCTCTTAGTATCAAAAAGTGACCTCTTGTGGTCTTACGTTACTTAATCCATGCAAGTGGCGTTAAGTTGAAGGGCAAATCTGCCATTTCAAGTTCATCTTCATCCTTATAACCCAAAGCTATGGACAGCAATAGCAAAACAAGTTCAGAAGCTAAAAGTATTTTATCGACGCTATTCATCAGAAGCAAATATGTCATTTAGGTCTGTTGTTCATCGGTTTCCACAAATTTTTTATATTTGGTTCTAGACAGTAGTTAGACCTTTAGCAGTTCAATATCACTAGATACCTTTAAAACTCTAATCCATTTAAAATCCTAAGGAAAAGAACACCAGCTAAAAATGTGTGAAAGTGCTAGGGAAACTATCACAGGTGTACACCTTTCATGCTCTGTACTATACTAACTTTGAATTTCTATGACAGTTTACAGCAAGATTCCTCAGATCCCAAATCTGCAATCAGTGTGAATTCTTTAGGACATGTTTTACATATATTCGTTAATGGAGAACTAGTAGGTAAGCATTGCTGGACTGTAGCACAATGATATAATAGCCACTCAATTTTCTCCAAAATACTTGTTCATCCATGCAGAAGTATGAGCATTTTTATTGTCTAAGTTGAGAAGAATTTAAACATCCTATATAAAATTTGAGGTAGGAACTGAGACTTTACCCAACTGAAAAAGGAATTCTGAAATTCCCAAGCTATCCATAGTGGTATTAAAGGCATTTGCAAATCCACCAAGGAATATCAAGAGTATTCTTATTTCTGTAGAGTTTTGTACAGGGAATTTGAACCTCATTTTCTAAGCACCTGAGCTCAACTTTCAGGGGCCTTCCTTACATGGTGTTTGTAGATATTTTCTCTTATTGTGTTGGATACTGAAAATAGATTTACTAGCCATATTAAAAGCATAATAAAACCTCTCATAGCAATTGCCTCTATCCTAGAAACATCTAATAAAAGTTACTACTGATTTTGCTCTCATGTTTTCAGGTTCTGCACATGGAGCTTTTAGGAGCTCAAGTTTTACACTAGAGAGCACAGTTTCTCTGAATGAGGGAATGAACAACATTTCCCTGCTGAGTGCAACGGTCGGATTACCTGTAATTACTTCAACTCAAACTTTCATCTTTCCTTGTTGGTTCAACAGATTCCTTAAAAAAAATTAAAAAAAAAAAAAAAAAAAAATCGAAACAATGAGTATTTCAAATATATTTACAACTAATCACAACACCATAGAAAATTAACTCTCAAACTTTTAGCAGCAGGGTAAAAAACACAGTAACACCAAGCATAGAAAAATCATGCAGTTTATAATCTACAGGATTCAGGACCATTTCTTGAGCATAGCACTCTTGGACCCCATAAAGTGACAATTGAAGGCAGTGAAGGAAGTCAAGATCTTTCTAATAATTCTTGGGGATATCAGGTAGCTGTTATTTCACATATCATAACCTGCTCAGCTAATTTTTTAAACTACAGAGTTTAACCATTGCAAATAGAAACTGAAATATAATAAGTTAGTGTCACAAATGTTTCAAAAAATTACCTGATAGAATGAATTTCATCTGAACCTGTCAGGGTTTATTTGTATGGTACACTTTTGAATAAAAGTGTTAAATGTTCAATTTTCATGCATAGCTCTTCGTCATTTTTTAAAGGTTGGATTGTTGGGAGAGAAGTTACAAATTTACACCACAAAAGGATCAAATGTTGTTCAGTGGAAAGAGTTTAGCTCTGCTCAACCACTTGTATGGTATAAGGTAAGTGAGTGACTTGACTCTCAAATGTAGTTTAAGACATTGGAGTAGTACAATTCTGGATGACTGGTCTATAAAACAAAACAGCAGATACCAATGCGAGAGTGGAACAAGAAAGTTTATCTGCAACCTATACCGAAAATCTAATCAAATTTCTTGTTAATTAAGTTTTAAGTTCAAAACACACACCAGATAGAAATATAGAGAATTATACTGCATATCATCTACAAAGTGAAAAAAAATGCAATTTTCATCAAACATTGCATTGATTGGTAAGATGTCACTAACCCAAATAAAAAATAACAAACTAAGAATGCTTCATTTATCCGTTAATTTGATCTCTTCATTACTGAAACTCACCCAATTGGGGTAAGTTTCATCCTGAAATTGCAGATATACCATATGAACTTTTTCACAAAATGCATCAGAACTAATTCCGTTGATAACTACTTGACAGACTTTTTTTGATGAGCCTGAGGGCAATGATCCTCTTGCTTTAAACCTTGGCTCTATGGGCAAAGGAGAAGTTTGGGTTAACGGCCAAAGTATTGGCCGATACTGGGTCTCATTTCGTACACTTGCAGGAACACCTTCTCAAACATGGTAAGTTGTAGTCCAAGTCAACTCTACTCCAAGAACACTTCATACAAGTTGTTTTTAAATAAATCCTGATCAAAACTCAAAGGCCAACAACTAAATTTGTACATTTCCAGGTACAATGTTCCTAGATCATTTCTCAAACCAACAGGAAATCTGTTAATTTTATTTGAGGAGGAACATGGAAACCCTTGCGGCATCACACTTGATACAGTCTCAATCACAAGTGTCTGTGGACATGTGACAGATTCTAACCCACCATTTCAAATTCCATGGAAGAGGTATGCAAGGAGGCCTAAGGTACAGCTCAATTGTCCACCAAACCGCAATATTTCTAAAATTTTATTTGCGAGCTTTGGGAGACCTTCTGGTGACTGCAGTGCTTATGCTGTTGGGAGTTGTCATTCATCCAGTTCTAGAGCCATTGTTGAGAAGGTAAGTTCTTTTTTCTCTAGCTTTCTGCGTTGAGTTCATTTTTTCTTTCACATCAGTTTACAATACAAAAAATCAATACATAGAGCCTGCCAAAGAGCACACATGTCTAGTATTTAACTGCATGCATGTTAAAAATATTTTATGCAAGAAAATCTGTTAACTTTTTCTGTTTCAGCATAAATTTTGATATATAGAAGTGTACTTATGCCATTTATGGATCAATAAGTCAAATAAACATGAACTAACCAATAAGGTAGCCAATTAGCCATACTATGAAAACCACATCTCAACCCTGATCACAAATAAAAACTGTTACAAAAGTAAAAGAGAAGATTTCTTAATATGCTATCGTATATTGTCTTAAACTGTCATATAGAAAAGAGAATACAACGCCCTATAAATAGGTGCTAGAAGACTACGAATAGGAAACAAGTTTCCATATGCCCACAAAACCTATAAGGTCAATCTTTCAAGTCATAATTTTGTGATTGTGTTTTACAAGACTGGATATTGAACTTATATTCCAATTACTTCTCAAACTTGTTCAAACTATCATTAGTGGTAGAATTAGATTTATTCACTCAGAAGTTATTTCACATCAAAGTAAAAAATCTGAATATCTGTGTAGTTGTACTACGTAATATTTAAATTATCCATCCCCTGCAAGTAATAGTCTGAATTCCATTCTCTCTCCTCTCAGAATGGATAAATTCCATAAATAAATTTGTAGTGCATTTCATTTTGGTCAAAGGATATGAATAAGGGTTGACTCTTGATACTGGTGATTGTGAAGCCAAAGTCTATACCAACTCCTGAAAGTCAGCAAACCTGTTGTAATCAAAGCCCTAGAATAAACTTGACAAAACCAAATCATTATGCTTCTAGTTTTTACTATTGCTGTTGAAATCAAAATGGGCATTGTCCTCTACTTGGTCATTGATTCACAGAACTAAATTTTCATATCACTTGCCAGGCTTGCATAGGGAAAAGGAAATGCACCATCTCACAATCATACAAAAGATTTGGTGGTGACCCATGTCCAGGAATTCCTAAATCTCTACTGGTTGATGTGCAATGTGGGTGAGAGGGTATCAAGTTCTAACAATCTTTGCTCAAAATGATAGGCATCATTCAACACATTCATTCTAAGTTCAAAAGAAGATACAGCATAATAGATACTAGATAGTTTAATCCTCTGATAGCAAATACATATCCAATTCAAATCTGAAATTTTTCAACCCATTCCAGCTGTACCTAATGATTAACTTTTCAAGTGGGAATAACTTTTACAAAGAACAGATGACTTCCAGTGATAAAAGTACCTAAGCTTTAGAATGAGTTTTGCAGACTACAAGTCTATGATCACCATGCAGAAAGACTGTAGCAGTAGGAAGAAGAGGCAACTGAAGCTAGCATACAGGATTACAGGCCATGTTTGCTGAAGAATTTTATTGCAACCTTTTACTGGTTGATGTACAACATGGGTGAAAGAGCAGCAAGTTCTAACATTCTTTTCTCAAAATGATAACATAATTGCTAATGATCTAGAGGCACCATTGAATATATTCATTCAAAGATCAATACAAGCTACAGCATAGTAAATAGCTTAAACCTAAGATAGCAAATATACATCCAATTCAAATTTTTAGTTTATCTACCCATTTCTGGTGCACCTAATATTTAAATTCAAGCAGGAATAATGTTTACAAAGGACAGATAACTTCATTTGTGAAAAGTAGCTAAGTTTTACAACAAGTTTTGGGGACTGCAATTCTATCATCACAAAGCAGAATAATTGTAGCAATAGAAAAAGGAGGCAACTGGAGCTACAATATAGGCCATGCTCGGCAAAGAACATGATTATGGATTGTGAATAATCTACAATCCACACAAAGTTACACAGGGATTATTGGCTTAAATAAGTGAAATGGTCGTGTATAATCATGGTCAATATTCTTTGCCAAACATGTCCAAAGTAATGAAGTATAGTATTTAGTTTACAACCATTCAATTTAAGCATCTTTACTGGACAGCACGTCAGCACCATATGTGATGTTATTTGAATTGCTTTATTACAGCTTGGATCCCAACAATTACATAAATGTAATTTCCTTAACTGATTAAAGAGTTTATCAAAGTGTGCTAAAAGTAAACAGCTTATGAACTATGAAGTGTTATTAACATTCAGAATTGATGAATATCACTTAAAAGGATAATAAAGTAAAAGCCAAACTCAAAAGGTTTAAGTTCACTCAAAAAGAGAGAGATAATCACTCTTTGTTGATAAGAGCCACGTGTTTCCATGCAGCCCATGCATTAAGACCACTGATTTTCAATACAATTAGTAAGGGAATAGTAAGTAATCACCATTTTACACACGTCCATTAAACTACATATACAGGGAAAATAAGTGCCAAGAATGGGAGAGCAGTCTTGCATAAAGCATACTAGTCCTAGAAGTTAACATCTGAACTGAACCATACAGTAAGGAAATAACCACCCAAAAAAATCCTGTAAAAAAGGAAATAACCAATAAATAAACCTGCCTACAGCATCTCCTCTCAGAAAAAATATATAAACGGCAGCACATTAATACTACAAGCTAACTTTAGTATGAAGATGCATTTGAAACAAAACAAAAAGCAAGGACCCCCACCCCCACCCCACCCCCAAAAAAAAAAGCAAGTTACCAGTTGAAAACCATGGAGGAACTGAAAGAGACCAAAAGCATTACTAGAAACTCCTTTTAGCACAAAATGACCATTCTCCATTGACAGTTTCCCAAATCCCAAGATTCTCTGTTCCAATCTCCTGGAACCCATTTCTACTTATGATATGAATCATAAGTTCGAGCAATAGACACCTTGCTCGGTTACAATGGATCAATGTTGAATAATATGGAAAAGAACCGTGCAAATCTTATCATTCATTTAGTATTTTTTGGTTTCCACCCATTTTTCTTTTCTTTTCAAAATGTTTTTCTTCTTTGGTGTTTTGAAATGATGATGGCAAGACTGCTTTTTGTGTTGGAAGTTCCGCAATGAAAAGAAGAGTTTGGGCCCAGCCAGCATATTTTCCATATTTGTTCACAAAGGCATCTGCTACGCGAGTGCAAAGTTTAGGTGTCAAACTGGTTCCTGCCAGCTCAGGGATGAGGTACCTAGTTGCAATCTACAAACAAAACAGCACAAGACATCACTTGGCACAGGCATACCATACATACAGGCGCACACACAGCTAAGCAGTAATTTACTGCAAACAGTATTTACTTCATTGGTGTCAATTTACTTGGCACTTTTCTCCTTGCCCCTTCTTCAAAAGGACAAGTGGCTTTCTTTTTTCATTTCATTTCTTTTTTCCTAAAGAGCAGCAAGAGTTGATTAAAAAATAAAAATTAAAATAAAAAATTTTAAAAAAAATTTAAAAAAAAAAAAACTAATTTTACATGGAAAAAGCAGAGTTTAACAAGATTTCTCTTGAGTGTAGTATCTGTTTTCCAATATAATTATCTCAAGTTCAGAATTGTTCCCAAAGCTTAAGTTTTGGTGTCATGTTTACCAAAGACAATCCTAAATTGGCAGGAGATGGCTCTCCTTGCCACATGCTGACAAGAATCATTTGATATCTAACATTACACAACCATATTTCTCCAACTTCTGCATTCGTCCCACCATACTTATTTAAAACTAAAATATAAAAAACCCTCTCTAGATTGACAGTATCTCAAGTATCGTGAAGAGTCAAAGTGTATACATTTCACTTTCTTAATGAAATACAGAAAATAAAATTCTGAGATAGCAATCTCTCAAGAAATAGGGGAGCATTAAAGCCCTTGAAATATCACCTGCCAGACATGAGTATCAACAGGAATGGCATGGTGTTGATCCAAAGAGAAGAGAGCAACACAGGCTGCAACCTTGGGACCAACACCAGGCAGAGTACAAAGACTATCAACAGCCTCATGAAGATCTCTCTCACGAAGTGAAGCAAGCCATTCATAACCTCCCCCTGGTTTTGACTGTAATGCCTTCACAGTACCTATTATATATTTTGCCCTGTCAATTTTTCACAAGTGCATTAGGAAAAAGTATATACCAGTTAAAAATATGGTTATGCAACCATGCTGAATTTTAAGAGAACCTAAACATCTTAAAAATAGAGTCAAAGAAAAATCATAAAAGCAAAGAAACAAAAACTCTGTGTAAAGTTCTGTGTTTCTTTTAGTTATGTGACTATGTGAGTCAAGCTTGAGGTATGGGGCTGCTTTTTTAGTTTAAACTCGATATAGGTTTGTTAATGTGCTCTGGTTGAGTTGTATACAGAACTGAACAATCTACTAGAGAAGCTCCTTGGCTTGTCCATGCATATGACCTAATAACATTCAATTACGTTTCAACTTTGAAGTTTGCAAAATGATATCAGCTCCTTTTAACTAAATCTGGGGGAAATATTGCTGCAGAGACAGTGCTCTAAACAGCTTTATTTGTTCCATATAGATACAATTGTACTTGTGACGAAAGGTGGAATCGCATCATGGTGACTTTTGCTCACTGTGCACAAGGAGCCCCCCTCATTTTGAGAGGTTGCACCCACACTACCGTTGGTGAGACTTGATCCTTGGTCTCTTGGGACAAATTTCACCTCAATACAATTGTACTTCTCAACAATGCATTAAATGCATACGAGTTGTTTATCCCATACATAATCTTTGTTGGTATCCTAAATATATCACTAAATGACACTGCCTATGCTCCAGAACTGATGAAAATTCAAGTCATAACTACTGAACTTTGAAGCAATAGTTGTAGATAATGTACTTTATTTTTGTACTGGAAAATAAAAATCCTTTTTACTTGTGATGGTAACTTACTAGTTCTTTTCATCATCCTGAGAAGGGAAGAAGAAAACAATGATTTCTGGTAGTCTAAGGTTGTTAATGAATGAAGGCAAACAAAATTCCTGTCTTTTACCGATTCCAGTGTAAATGATACTACTTTTGAACAGGAGATAGAATGTGTATGCTTTCTCATCACACAGTTCATGACATATGAAACAGCTTCTAAAAGCACAAGCATATGAGTATATAAATTTACCTTATCAGGTATAATTTGTAACCAAAGGAAAACAACATTTCAAACATGAAACATTTGTATACAAAATCCATAACTTTCAAAAAAAAAAAAGTATACAAAATCCATAATTCCACATAGAGGCCTTGGTTTGTATATTCAAGAAACCTAGAAGAGGGGTAACCCCAGTCAAGTTGGCTGAGGATACAAACTTGTAACCACAACGTCACGAATTCGAATCCCAACCTTCTTGATTTGAACCGGTCAACTATGGCCAACCTAAGCTAGTTTACCTCCTTGTGATACTTTGCCGACTAGGGTCAAAAGGCGGGGTTTACCCCGTGCACACCCTCGGGTAGTGGCTGAGGGTTTCCCTTGTCACCCCAATAAAGAAACCTAGAAGAGCATCCTTTTTACAAAAATTCCATAAAATCATAACAAGTTTTCTATCAGCATTCAGTCCAAAAGAACCATAAAAGACGGCGTTGGCCGGGTCGGCCAAATTCAGCCCTTCTCGATCTGCCTACTTATCACCAATTGGTTTTAAGAGGAGTATGGCAACCAGGTAACCAAAGTGTTTGACTTACAGGAAGCATAGTGCCTCTATCAAATTGGTGTTTGACTTACTGGGAAACCCAATATATTGTAACATGATCTCAAATTGGTAAATCAGGAAGCAATATCAGAATAAACTATATGAATCATAAGAATGGAAATCTCTAAATTAGATAAAAGGCTAACACCTGTAACCAAAACCAGCCTCCCTGAGCTCAGCGTCAGAAACCCTCGATAGCCGGTCCAAGGTTGGGAATTCGTAAAATTTAAACCCTTCAACAGTGCCCAAATAATTCCCCAATGACGAAATGAAATCAACCATCAATGTAATTCTCTTAATATTGTTATTAGAGGAGCAAATGAACTGGATTAGGCACTCAAGAGGGTCCTGCCTGAGCACTCTGGCCCCTCCCAAATGATCGGCCAACTCGGCAAATCTAGGATCGGAGGTCTTAAATGTCTCCCAAATCTCACCAAGAGAAATCCCCACATTGAGAAAATCACGCAAGGCGGCCCTGGCAAGGGCAACATCATCATCATCCACGCTGGTTGTGCGGTGGAGATGGTAACCGACATCTCCATTCTCCAATTGCTTCAGGGAGACCAAGTGGGACCCACCGACGACCCCGGTGAACTGGAGTGGGCCCGTCTGCTTCCACCTGAAAGTCTGGCCTGTGGGGAAGGTCAAGGGCAGGTAGAGCTCGGTTCTGCCGAGGTTTAAGGGCACCCAATTGGTGTCTTGTTGAGTGGTGAGGGTAAGGCTCAAGGGCTTCTTGGAAGAGTATGAAGAAGAAGAGGAGGAGATTTTTCCGGCAATGGCGCGGAAAATCTGTGGGCTTGGTGGGGTGGAAGGTACCGTCTGGGGTTGACTCCGTCTGTATGATTGGTTCCTCTTCTTCATGGTTAGTAGAGCACTCTGTGGCTGAAGCAGTATGAACGTTTTGGGTTTCATCGAAGATGACCCGGAGACGCGCAACCAACGGTCGAATCAATCATTATACTTTTTAGAAAAAAATGTCAAATAGGACAATAGGTCACTAAACTATTCCATTGTTTAATAAAAAATTATCAAACAAAAAAATATGTAATTACACTATTAAAAATTCAAAATTTGTACAAATAATATTTTTTATAAATTAATTTCAAATTTTAAATATGATATCATAGTGTCAAATTATATTTTAAAAATAATAATTATAATTTTTAAAAATTAAAAGAAAAAATAATTTTTTAAAAATTTCAGAAGAGCTACCTCCACCTTCGTACAGGACGAAAGTGGAGGCAACTATGGTTGTCCCCTCCACTATCTAATCTAGATGAAAGAGGGAACAGCCATAACTACCTCCCCGACAAAGGAGGGGTAGCCTTGGTTCGAACGGGAAGTTGGAAATAACATGTAAAAAATATGGCATCATATTTAACGGGAAGTTGGAAATAACATGTAAAAAATGTTATTTATATAATTTTTGAGTTTTTAATTATCTAATTGAACACTTTTTTTGTTCGATAGTTCAATTGCACAATGTGTAAAAATTTAGTAGTTTATTTGACACATTTTCCTACCTTTTATTTACTTGAAAAACGATAAAGTATGCATTCACTACTTTCAATGAATTCAATATTATGATTCTGGCAAACAAATGATATTAATAAAGTAAATTTAGATTGTGATGGACTGAAATTAAGAAGGGTAATCAATATTAATGGGTTGTATTCAATCTAAACTTTTATAAAATTTTAAAGTGATATATTTTAAATGACTTTTATATATTTTTGGGATAAGGGTTAAATATACCCTTGAACTATTGATGAAAGTGCAATTAACCCCCTCAAGTACAAAAAGCTTCAATTAGGCACTTCAACTTTTTTAAAAAATGCAATTAGATCTTTTTACAGGTTACCATCAGGTAATGAGTTAAAATTTGCTGACTTAGCATCCACATATATCCTAAATGCTTACATGTAATATATTTAAATAATTAAATAATTTGTTTAAAGCTGATACTCTTAACCTGAGCAATTCCATGAGAATCACGAAGAATTACACCAATTTGGGATGGTTTAAGACCCTTCTTTAATTTGCAAATTTGCTGATATTGTCCTCAACATCCTGGGAAGAGATCTTCAAGCAACTGGGTGGAGTCCTCTTGTATGGAATTGCTGAAGAAGAAATACCCTTTACTCGACCCATGGTGGCTGTTGGAGGCTTCTGAGCACGTAGCTGCGGCGGCGACTCCTCTGAGCAAGCTTGGATCGAGGGGTTGTCTTTGTAACTGAAATAAGGGTAAATGTTGGCCAGCAAGGGTAAGTTATTTTGTGCCAGGAATCCGACGAGGTTCATTACTCATTAGGCCCATTGCGTCTGCATTGAAGACGCTGTTATTGGGTGGAATGGTATTGCTAACACGGCGGAGTAGGTGGCCGCGGCGGAGAATAGCTTAAAAAAAATCATTTAATTATTTAAATATATTACATATCAGCATTTAGGATACATGTGGATGCTAAGTCAGCAAATTTTAACTCATTACTTAATGATAACTTGTAAAAAGATCTAATTGCATTTTTTTAACAATTCAAGTGCCTAATTGAAGCTTTTTGTAGTTGAGGGGGTTAATTGCACTTTCATCAATAGTTCAAGGGTCTATTTGACCATTATCCCTATATTTTTTTTGAATGCTAGTAACTCTATTATATTGTAGAATACTAGTATCTGTTCAAACATATTTTTGTCAACAACGCCTCCACTAAGGCTTGATCTCATGACCACCCACATGGGAGAGGTCACTACATGCCATTTGAGCACAAGGTGCTTGGCAAATGACTTTATATAATCTTTTTAAACTTTCTTATAATCTTTTAGACTTTCATGGCTAAAGTGTCATCCCGCACCATGAACTATATCGGATTCTTCATGCCGCACCCTGATCTTTCATAAGTGCTGTTTGGATCCACAAACCATTAAATTTTGTTCGCCTAGAACTTTTTACAGGTTATCTACAGGTTACAGGTAATCTATGCTGACATGGACTTTTTTCTTCTAAACACCTAAGCCATTGTCCGAGAGCTCGAGCTGCCACTACTTCTTCAATCTTTCAAGCTCTTTCTAACTCCCCTATGTTTTCCGACGGGTTCACCTTCCATCGGAAACTTCTTGGTCGCGCATGGAAACAACACCATTATACGAAGCTTCTTCGAACTGTTCATGTTCCCGGTTCGGAGGATCCGACGAGGTCATTGTATATAGTCGTTGGTAATGTCTTAAAGCTCACGTTCACATCAGAGTGTTCGCAGTTGTGTAGTGTCCGGTCTTCGAACAACTCAGCTCCATTCACCCGTTATTCTACTCACTGGAATGTCGCTCGGAAGAGTGGACGTTCGGCGACCAAGCCATGTACCTCCTTGATCACCTTGATTTTTGCAGCTGCATCAAATTTCTCTGGCTTAACATCAAAAACTATTTTTTCAGCCTTTCTTCTTGGCCTTTGATGCTCCCGCTCCAGCTCCAGCAACACCAAAATCTATACCTTATACCGAAATAGATTTCTTCATGGGATGCTTCAGTCTCTCTCGAAGTACATGACCAATTTGGATTATAATATAATGGAGAAAATTTGTTCTTAAAATGCAGTTGAGTTAATGCTTTTTGAATCAAACTTTAATAATAAAAAAAAAAAACAGACCGTTTGATTTAAAATCTAATTTATAAGAACTCATAATATATCTCATTTATACAAAACAAAAACACCTTAATTATATTACAACTTGAAAACAGTCTCCCATCCACTAAGAAAATACATGCAGAATTAAGATAGAAACGAAATGAGAAAAAAGAACTTAATTGGGCCTCTAACATACCCAATTCAACGAATCACGCACTCATCATATATATTTCGTAATTCATAGTTACTACATAAACGACTCCGGTAGTGCGGTATAGGCGGACGACAAGATATGGTACTCGCACATTGAGCGTTTAACAATCTCGTCAATCCTCTCCTCGCTCAATCCAAGAGCGGCTGCTAACTTCGGCCCTCTTAACAACTGCATCACTGAACTCTCGGCCACCAAGAATTATGGCTAGTTGTCCTTGGCCGACATGGTGAAGCCGAAGAACACATACGTCCTGTTCCTCGACGCCATGCATCTAGCAGAACGGGAAGACGCTATCAGGTCCTATTATTCCACGAAAAGCCATAGACGATCGAAAAGTTGCAAAAAGCTTCATGGCTTGTTGCCAGAGTTACAAGAGAGAGTTTATTTACTTGGAAGCAATTATTTGATTTTGCAGCTCTACTTCTTGCCGAAGTGTCGGAAGGACGGCAAGGATGGCAGCGACGGCTGGTCGTTGGCGGCAGATGGCGAGGTGAGGCAACGCTAGGAGAGGGGCTATCGGTGACCGGCGATGCTGGTAGACCGAGGCTGAGACATTGAGATTTCATAAATCATAATGGTGGATTGCACCCATGGCGAGGGGCTTGCTGCAATCTAGGATTCTATTGGGTTGACTTAAAAAGAAGGTCTACATCAGCTAATAACCTGTGACATGTCATCATAGTAACCTGGTAACCTGTTAAAAATTCTAGGCGAAAAAAATTTAATGGTTTCTGGAGCAAAATAGCACTTACGAAAGTTCAGGGTGCGGCATGACAAATCCGATATAGTTCATGGTGCGGGATGACACTTTAGCCGACTTTCATTAACTTCGTACGAGTCTATAACAAGTTGTAATACAACCATTTATAAACTTTTTCATATTAAAAAATCACCATATTTGCAATTCGTTCACTATTTTCTATATATTCCTACAATTTCAACACACTTTCAAAAGTGAAACCACATTTCACGTCACATTTAAAAATTACTATATTTCATTAATATTATTATTATTTAAATCATTAAAAAGGATAAAAGTATTAAAAAAATAAAAAAACAAAAAGAAGTAACAAAAACTCTCTCTCTCTCCTATTTAATGCATTTTACTTTTGCCACAATATTCAAGACTTGCAGATTAGCAAGGATTGCAATCCACCCCATACTTAAAATAAAAATTCAATTAATAAATAGTGACATGGTTTTTGTCATGTCTCTTTCAAATAAGCAAAATTTTAGGGATGATGATAGCTACTCTAACTTTAATACTTCAAGTATTTCATAACTTTTATTATGGTGTGTTTGGAAACTAGAACAATGACTTATAGAGAATAAGTCATAACTTCTATTAGGGTGTGACAACGCTCTATAGCTCTTTGTAATGTCTTATATAAAATCCTGGCTAAAGCAATTACAAACATAATAAATCATTTCCTCCAGTCCATTTTCTCTTCCTCACAGTCTGCATTTGTCCCTAGCAGACTAGTTTTTGAAAATTTGTTGTTGGCATACGAAGCCCATCATTTTCTAAATAGGAAAACTTAAGGGAAGTATGAGAATAATGGGATGTTGAGCATGAAAATAGATATGAGTAAGGCATATGATAGAGTAAATTGGGATTTGGTGGAAGGTGTTCTCTCTAAGCTCAAGTTTAATTCTGATTTAGTGGATTTGATTTCTATCTGCATCAGATATATTTAATTTTCGATTCTTCATGATGGCCAGGAGATTAGTTGTGTTACTCATAATAGAAGCCTAAGGCAGAGAGACCCTTTCTCCCCCACCTCTTTATTTTGGTGATGGAAGGGCTTAGTTCTCTCATTAATAAGGAAGCTCAATGGGGTAAGATCCGTAATAATATTGCCAGTACGAAGGGTGCCCTTGAAATCACCCATCTATTTTTTTTTCAGACGATTGCTATATATTGCAGGACAAACTCCTGTGTGACAAATGTTATCAAAGCAATTCTTGATGAGTTCTATATGGCATACGGTTAGTCTATTAATTACAGAAAATCAAGTATCTATTTCAGCAATAATGTTGATTCTGTAACGAGGGAAATTGTAAGTGAAATTGTGGGGATTCTTGCTAGTGCACACAAGGGACA